AACATAACCACAGTGGAAAACAGTTTTATTCCTCAACAAGTTAAACATAGAATTACCCTATGACCTGTCAATTCCACTCCTAGGTATATATCTGAAAGAATTGAAAACGGATGTGCAAAGAAAAACTTGCACGTTGATATTCATAGCAGCATTATTCACAATAGGCGGGAAAAAAACCCAATTGTGCATCAATTAATGCATCGATAACCAAAAGGTGGTATATCCACATAATGGACTATTATTTTGCTATAAAAAAGCCAAAAAGAATGCTACATGTAAAACATGAATGAATCTTGAAAATATTATGCTAAGTGAACACTTATTGTATGAGTTCTTTAAATGAAATATGTAAATGAGGAAAATCTATCGAGACAGAAAGTAGATTAGTGGTTACCAGAGTCAGAAGAGAGGCAGGATGGGGAGTGACTGCTTAACTGAGTACAGTTTCTTCTGAGAGTGGTGAAAAAATTTTGAAATCAATGGTGATGGTTACTCAAGTTATACATTTAAAACAGTTAAATAATGAATCTGTTTCTTTTTACACTATATCAATTTCCATTGCATGGGTACACCATAGTTAATTAGTCCCTAGCAACAGACATTGAAATTGTTTTGGAGGCAGGGATGTGGTTCAGTGGTAGGGTGCTTTCCTAGCATGTGTGAGGCCCTGGGTTCCATCCCCAGTACCACAAACACACACACATAAATTAATTAATTAATTATTTTTTTGGTAACCAGAATGAAACCCAGGGCCTCACACATGCTAGGCAAGTTCTCTACCCTTGAGCCACATCTCCAGCCCTAAATTAATTAATTATTTAAATAGTTTCTAATTGTTCACTATTACAAACAATGCTGCAAGGAAAAATCATGTACTTATCATTTCACATTTGTGCAAGTTAATCTGTAGGATAAGTCCCTGGAAGAGTATGTACAGGTTCAATAGAAGAGGATAGGGGCTGGGGTTGTGACTCAGTGGTAGAGCGCTTGCCTAGCATGTGAGGCACTGGGTTCAATTCTCAGCACCACATGTAAGTAAATAAAATAAAGGTCCATTGACAACAAAAACTATTTAAAAAATAGAAGAGGATGTACAGGTTCAATACAAATTCAATATGATTTGCAGTATTATATTGGTGAGTACTTGCCAATATTGATAAGTATAAATAAGTTCCCTGGGAGTTGGACCAGTTCACATTGCTATCAGCAGCATACGAGAAAGGTCACCTAATGCCTTGCCATGAAGCATGTGCATCCTCCTTAGCCTGGGCCAATTCAGGTCCAGATGCTCTGCAGGGAGTGTGGGGGAAGGATGGGGTGCTGAGGCCTTGAACACCCCCATCCTGCTCCTCACCCCAGGACCTCAGGTGGGTGCAATATATGATAGAGCCTCCACCCTCTGGGAGAGACCAGCCCAGGGCTCAGCCTCAGTGTAACCTCAGCCCTGCTCACTGCATGTGCTGTGGTCAGAGATGCTGAAGATGCTGCTGCACAAAGCCCAGCTTTGACTCATCTCACAGGTGGGGCCCTCACTGCCACACTTGTTCCCAGGATAGGGCAAACCCAGAGGAGACCTCAAGCCCACTCATCTCTCCTAAATAGGAACCTGGACTCTGGTCGCCTTTCCCTCCCTTTCCTCTCAATTGTTCCCCCTTCTCTGCTCCTTGAGAACCCATGCTCCTTGCTCTTCCTATTCAAAAATTCAATTACATCTCTCTATGGATGTTCTTTATATCTTTATAGTTGTTTTACTTCCTTTTAGTCTCTAATAGAAGGCTCTTCTACATCAATCCCTTTATTTTGCAAAAGGAAACTATACCCCAGAAGGGTAAGCTAAGGTCACACAATGAACAGGAAGAAGAGCAGGGACAGAGACAGGCCTCTTGGCACTTCGTCTTGCTGTTTCCTCCCCTCCAACCCTGGCAGCAGCACCATCACAAATTGTCTTCTCCCTACTAGCCCCAGCAAGTCTGACCTAATCCCATTTCTCTTTTGCCTTGGATCTCCTTCAGTCTTCCCTTCTCTCCCTGGGAGCAAATGCTTGTCCCGTTTTCCTGGACTTGATTCTGACTCCAATACACATCCCATTGCCCTGTTTGATGTGTGTTTTACTGTGTTACGATTCTGAATCTAAATAAAAGTTTTCCCTGGGGATAAAACTGAGGGCCTTATGAATGCTAGGTAGCACTCTACCACTGAGCTACCTACCCCGCCTATAAATTGGTCTTTTGACTATGCTTTGACTGCACTCACTCCATTTTGAGTTTTCTCTTGTAATACAAGAAGTGACTGCTGACAGTCAACCCTAACAACTGCTGACTGACAGCTCTATTGACAACTGTGTGCCAATTTGCAAAGGAGATAGTTGACATCCAAGACCTTTCCTCCAAAAATTGACATCTAGAAGCTAAGTTAATACACCTTCTGGAACTCTGGAACTATAAATAACAATGCTTTCAGGCTGCCATTTAAGACATATCTCACTGTGACTTTACCCTTGGCATGTATTTGCTCTGAAAAAGCATGGGCCACAGGAGGCCCTGCCTGAGTGAACAGTGAATAGGCCCTGCCCTTTCTCTGATTTCACTGTTAGCAGCTTGACAGCATCTCAGGCCTGCATGAGTACCACCTTGAGGGGACCAGTTTCTGGGACCGTTTGGACAGTTTCTTCCATGGATGCATGGTGTTCAGTTCATTACTAGTAGTTTATGTTGGCGTCATTTTCTTATAACTACTTTTGCCTACATTTTCACAATATTCCTTTTCTTATTTTTGCTTTATCCTGCTTTGTTTACCTTACAATAAAAAGACTTTCAGAAACTATCTTTGCTTCATGTGGTTTGACACTTGATTAAAAGATAAAAGAACCTGCCCCTCTTGGAGAAAACATAATCCTTGAGGTGAAATTGTCACCAGGTATTGGGGAACCAGGCCCCACTGAATGTTTCAATGAGAATGCCCTTTAGCAGCTGAGAAACAGCCTCTTCCCAACCCATCCACACCACCCAAGTCAAGGAGAGCCCCCTCTGCTGCCTGCTGCAAGTCTTGAGATGGGAACAGAACTGAACTGCTGGGCAACGGTCTCCAAGGAGTGTGGAATTGGAGGCCAAGGTGCCAAATAGGAAGAAGCCAGAGCTGGGGCCAAAGCATGAGGCAGCAGGGATGGCAGCTGGGGGAAATGTGGGGAGAAGCTACCCTGGTCTAGCCTTTGGCACATGGCAGACATTCAGGAACAGCACTCATACATCAACCCCCATCTAGCCCAACTCTTAGGAAAATGATGAAAGAGGTGAGTGGTGATGCTAGAGGAGGGAATAGGGGCAGGGGATTCTTAGGGAGTGCAGAAAGGAATTCACAGCTTTCTCAAGACTAGACAGAACCCTGAGTGTCCAGGTTAGAATTGTCTTGCTAAGCATTTGGGACCAGGTGGGTCTGGGCTTGTCAAGAGAGGAGATGGGGAGGGGGCTGTGCCCAAGTACTCACAGGTGCATGCAGAGCAGCCTTCCTTTGGTGGCAGCAGCAGCCTTTGTGTACTGATCTGGAGGCTGCAGAGGAGGAAGTGACACGCCCTGGGGTGGGGGAGTCTTAGGGATGGCTGATCTAGAAGAAGGTGGAGCAGATAGGGTTAGGGCTGGGCCAAGAGCATGAATGAGGCAGAGATCTGGAAAAAGAAAGCTCATCTATTGTCAGGTGCTGGACCACCAAGTTAGAGTTAATGGTCACAGCAACCTCATTAGCTAGGTGTTAGTACCCCTACCCCACCCCACACACCAATCTTACAGATGCAGAGATTGAGGCCTGGAGGCAAGAAGTAAAGAACCTTGCTCAAGAGCAGGCAACTAGTAAGTGGCTGCTTGGCCTTCCTCCACAATTGATGATCTCTTCACTTCCTCATATGGGAAGGGATAAAATAGGAAGGACTATGGGGGCAGAAAGTATTGTAGAAAGGAGGAAGTTAGAGACTGTTGATCATTTTGAAAACCCAGGGACCACAGTATCTTAGTGTGCTTAACTCCATGGGCTCTGGAACCAAACTGCCTGAGTTCAAGTCCTGGTTCTCCCTTACTAGTACGTAGAAATTCCCTTAGCTAAGTTCCTTAACCCTCCCTGTGGCAGCTTCCTCATCTGTCAAGTGGGACTCGAGGATCATGGTGAGAATTAAATAATTCATATCAATTGCTTACAAGAGTACGTGGCACATAAAAAGTGTACGATAAAGAATCACTAGGAGTAGGAGCTGGGTTGTGGCTCAGTGGTAGAGTGCTCGTCTCACATGTGTAAGGCACTGGGTTCGATCCTCAGCACCACATAAAAATTAATAAAATAATGGTATTTTTAAAATAAAAAAAAAAAAAAGAATCACTAGGAGTAAAAAGTAATGGAGGCAGGTGGAATGGCTTTGAGAAGTGCAAGGTTCAGACAGTTGGAAAGCTGGAGAGAGAGGCACGGAGCCAGGCTTGGAGAATGCGATGGAGGGCGGAGGAGCCAAGACAGTAGTAGAGACTGGGAAAGAGTGGAGGGAGGAGAGCAAAGAAGCAGAGCACAGTAACAGCAGCTGGAGGCCAAGCAGGATGAAGCCTGTAAGAATGGGCTGTGGAAAATATAAATAGGATTGGTCACTGGCCCACACTTGAACACAGGGAGCTTTGAGAGGGACCTGGACATTAGGTCTGTGTTCGTAAGAGCTGTACTCCATACCAGAAGAGGCACCCCTTGGCAGCAGGGACTGGTTCTTAGGATCCCTGCTGTAGCCACTAAACATAGCCAAGTGCCCATCTTCTAGCAGGTGCTCCATAATGTCAGGTGGATCCTAGGAGCATAGCAGGAGAAGGCAACTGGAGAAGAGGGGCTCCTTCTCTGGGTGGGCTCCTGCTAGCACCAAGCTATGGGTCAGCCAGGTCCTTCTACCCTTCCCCCATAACCATGGGTTACCATGGCAATGAACCTCCTTACCCACAGGCCCTGTGGTTTCCTTTAAGTCTTCTTTCACTTTCCTCTTCTGCTTTTCCTCCACTCGTCTCTCCTCCCCCTTTCACACATCCTCAACTCTTTTCCCACAGGCACAAGTCACCAGTGGAGAAAGCCAGGAACAAGGTAGGCAAAGCACTGTCCTGGGAAGAAGTGGGCACAGTAGGAGAGATACAAGGGGAATCACAGAGGCAAGAGGATAACAGGAAGGACAGACTAAAGGCCAAAAGCCTTTGAAAAAGAGGTGTTGTAGAGGTAAGGCCTATCGGGGGAGGAAGGGCTATCAGCAGAGAGGGTAACTGGGGCCGTTGGGTAAGTGGAGGTCATGGAGGAAAAGTTGGCTCAGGAGGGGTGGAGGGAGTGATAGGGTGTCAGCCTGCCACAGAGGGTGGGAGAGCTCACCGACGGGCTGGTGTCAAACAGAAACACTGCAGCTTCAAGGTGGGGTTATGGTTCTCTTCTGAGGCCAGAGACAACCATGCAAATGAACCAGAGAAGGGCAAATAGGCACTTTTAAATATATAAAGTGAGGCCCATAGAGATAAGTAAGAGCATAAGTGGGGGTTTTGGGAGGCCTGTGCCTCAGGGTGGACCCTGTAAAAGCCCTCCCCCGCCTCACCAGTCCTATCCAGCATACTTCATCCTATTTCTTTTGCATCCCTAAGATAGTCGCAAAGTCCAGCAGATTAGGAGTTCTCTCTCACCACCCTGCTATACCTCCAGGGAGCAACATCCCATGAGTTTCCATCACTTTATTTTGCAAAAATAGAAAACTCAGCAATATGCGATACAGCGGGGTAGAGGGGAGATGTAAACAGAGGGGAGGGGACAGCACCCTGACCCCCCCGGAGTAAAAGGAGAGCCAGCGGGAATCTTATTTGGCAGCTAAATACAAACTGGGGATTGGAGGAAGAAGGGAGGGGTCACAGAGGCCCTGGGCTCCCCCTCCCAAGACCCCTGGAGGAAGGGGTCATACCAGGGTGTAAACAAAAGCTAATAAATAAATAGAGGCTTCCTCTGGGTCAGGGTGGGATCAGCTAAGCAGCATCTCCTCTCCCTGGGCCAAGCTGCTCTGGGGGTCAAGGGTGGAAGGCACTAGGAGAGGGATCCCTGGCTCCTCTGTAGTGTAGGAGGGCCCCTGCCCGATGGCTGAGATGGGGGCAGGAGGAGCCCAAGGCACATGATGGGGCTGGAGGAGGGGCTTATAACGGAGGACATGGGGTAAACATTGCACCCCAGCAAAGAGGTGCAGAATAGACCTGCATCTGTCCCTTTCACCCTCGGGTCCTGACCCAGAAATGCAGGGCCCAGCCTGCCCCCATCCTGACCTGGCAAAAGGATGGGGCATCAGCGTGCACCAGCAGGTGCATCACGCAGCATTAGGCACCAAGGGTAGGGGCGAGAAGGATGGGCTCAGCCCCTCCCCCCACTGCCCTTCTTTTGGTCTCTAGTGTTCCTTTTTTGCTCCCAGAACCCAAGCACCTGGCAGAGGAAGGGGCTATGGTATGGCAGGGTCTTCCTCCTGCCCTGGAGAGCCTAGGACACTGGCATCTGAGGGGCAGTGCTGAGATTTTAGAGTCCAGACCCAGGCTCACCCCCTCCGTCCTCTCTCCTGGTTGGGAGCAGGGCAGCCCCCCAGGATTGGAGAGGGAGCCAGTTAGAGCGGAAAAGGGACGAACACAGAGGCACCCCTGGAAACTTTGGCAAAACAAGGAGCTCATTGGAAGGGTGGGGAGATGGCAGAGCAGGTCCTCCCCCAGTCACTGGTGGCGTCTGGGAGATGGTCAGTCTGCTGCCTGGAGCCCAACCCCACAGGGGGGGAGGTCAGGGGCCCTGGTCAGGCTGGGGACTTTGGTCTCCTTTGCCCTGGCCCCTGGGAGTCTCATCCTCGCTGGAAGCCTTGGGCTGGGGACCAGGCTGCGAAGAATCGTCCTCAAACATTTCGGGGTTCTCCAGCATCTCTCGGATCAGTGGGGGCATCGGGCCTGGAATCTCCATCTTCAGGGTAATGGCCCTTTCTGCTCCTACAGGGAGAAACAAAGAGGCTCAGAGAGGTAGAAGTACATGGTGCTTGGGACTGCCTCCTTAAACTTTCTCAACTAGCCCATGACTCTCCTTTGGGCATGCGCAGCCCGGTCTGGGAACCCCTACCTGGTCTTCTCTGCCATACCTACTGCCCATTTGTCTCATTCTTTCAGGATGTCTTCTTTTTTTCTTCCTTCTTTTTTTCTTTCTCTCTCTCTCTCTCTCTTTTGGCAGTACTGGGGATTGAACCCAAGGGCACACATCCCCAACCCTTTTTACTTTGGGACAGTTTCTGAGCCTGGCTTGGAATTTGTGATCCTCCTGCCTTAGCCTTTTGAGTTGCTGAGATTACAGGTTATGTAATGACCTTGACCCACTATAGAACTATATTTTTCTTTACTTTTTTTTGTACTGGGAGCTAATTTTTTTTTTTTTTTTTTTTTGGTATGGGGATTGAACTCATTGAACTCAACCACTGAGCCACATCCCCATCCCTATTTTGTATTTTATTTAGAGACAGGGTCTCACTGAATTGCTTGGTGCCTCACTGTTTCTGAGGCTGGCTTTGAACTCTCAATCCTCCTGCCTCAGTCTCCCGAGCCTCTGGGATTACATCCGGCTGTACTGGGAGCTATTGAACTGTATTTTTCTTTTCTTTCTTTTTTTCCCCTTGTTTTGTACTGGGGATAATCCCAGGGATACTTTACCACTGAACTACATTCCAATATATATTTTTTAAAATTTATTTCAAGTCAGGATCTTGCTAAGTTGCTGAGGTTGACCTCAAACTTGTGATCCTCCTGCCTCAGCATCTGAAGTCAATGGGATTACAGGTGTGTGCCACTGTGCCCAGTTCAGTAGTGAATTTTTAGTTCACATTTTTAAACACATTGGGAACCAAATCATTTAGTCCTCACAGTTAGTTTATATAGTAAGCATAATCCAGTTTACAAACATCAAAACAAGGTACAAAAAGTAAAGGAGATGTTAGGGGTATAGCTCAGTGGTAAAACATTTGCCTAACATGCAAGAGACTGTGGGTCGATCCCCAGCACTGCAAAAACAATTTTTTTAAATTGCCTAAAGTCTTCTCACTAGGATGTATGTGGCCAAACTAAGACTCCAATGTAGGTCACCTGATTCTCAATCACTCTGTTCCTGTCTCTGCCTGTCCAGCTGTGTGACCTAGAAGACCAGCAGCTCTAGGAACACAGACAGGGAGGGCTCACTCATGACTAACCCTTGGTGCTGATGCCCCGGAGGTCGGTGATTTTCATAAGCATCCTTGGGAACATATAGGGCTGGCTGGGCCTCCGGCGCCGGGCATACAGCCTCAGGGCTTCCAGCAATGGCTCCTGCAGCTTGTCTACTTTTTCAGGTTCCTCCAGGTCCATGCGGTCTATGAAGACAAACACAATGGAGTGAGAGAGAAAGGAAGAGAGGATGAGTATACAGTGACACATTTCTAATCCCCAATCAGTCCTGCCCTGTTGCTTCTAGGTCCCAAACTGTCCCATCAGTCTTTCTCCTGTTGTTCCTGAGCCCTACCAGGATATCTCTCCTGCTCTGAGCCCTATGCCTTCTCCTGTTCAGCAAGGGGCTTTCTCTGGTAAATCCATCCAGCCAGATCACTATCTCAACACCAGTATTTAGGGGCTCCTCAGCTCCCTCTAGCTCTTCTCCCTTTTTATGTCCTATGTTCGAGGCTGCTAGGAAGTTTTACAGGATCTAAGTCTGTGTCTGGGGCCAAGGACAACAATTTCAAAAGAAGAGACCACCAAGACCTCCCACCTGGCCAGAGATCAGGTGTGGAATATGGTGGGAAAGGAGCCTGAGCAGACGCCAGGGGGCGCCTCCGCACCTCCACAGATGAGGCAGATTGCGCTAAGCAGTCCTGTCTCGGTGTCATCCATCTCCAGTGGCAGGAGCTGCCCAGCAAAGGCAAAGACGAGGTCTGTGAGGGGCCCAAAGCCAGCGTTGTGCATTTGGGTCCGGTTCAGGGTCAGCCCATCAGAGAAGGTCATGGTGTCCTGCTCCGGGGTGTACCTTGTGCAGATTCGTAGCATCTGCAGGTGGGGGCAGAAGGAGAGTTAGTGCTGTAGCAAAAGTGGATGGGTGGGGGCGGGGGGTTCATACAGGACAGGGAAAGAGGGAATGAATGGAAAATGAAGAAGTTAGATCCTCAACAAATGCAACCTGAAACAGGCATGGGAAGGAAAGCAGAGAGGAGGAGGATCTGAGGGAGCCCCCCAGAAGGCAGGAGAAGGCAGAGCATCCAGAAATCTAGGAATAGGTCCTAGGGGCAGGGCCTAAGACAAAAAGAGCTTGGGTTGCCAGGTATGGTGACACATGTCTTTAATTCCAGGGAATCAGGATACTGAGGCAGGGGGATCACAAGTTCAAGGCCAACAAGGCAATGTGACAAGATCGTATCTCAAAATAAAAATCTACTACTATAGTTCAGTAGTAGATTGCTTATGTAGCATGTGCAAGGCCCCAAGTCAAGTAAAGGAAAGCGTGAGCTTGGGTAGAGGAGATGTGGGGAGTCCCAAATGGTTTGGGGGGAGATAAAGTAATCTTTTTGAAGCAAGGAATCATTGAAAGTTACATATAAGGGTCAGGCTAAGGCAAGAACCATAGGCCTAAATTACCAGGATGTCCAGGCAGGCAGCCTTGAGCAGAGTGATCTGGTCAGCAATGCTGAGCCCTGTAAAGCCAGGCAACCTCTTGGCAAACTCCACTATCTTAATGATGCACTTGGTGGCCAGCTCACTGAACTTGTCCCACAGCCCCAGATCCAGCTGCACCCGGTGGTCTGCACTGGAGTTCTGCATGGGAAGAGAAGGTTAGGATGCAAAGGCCACCCTGAAAGTTTCCTTCTCTCTGCCAATACCCCAAGCTCTCTCCTCTGCATGCTGTAGCCCTCCTTGTCCCTAGTACCAGACCATGGCCTCCTACACATCCCTTAACCATTCCCAAAAGGCACAGTCCCTGCCCTCATTGGGGCTCTGCTCATTCCTCACCGTGGTGTACTTGCCCAGCTGGCAGAGTGAGGGGAAGGTCTCCTGATGGGCTTTGCTGACCTTGGTGATGAGCTCTTCTAACTGGGGGCTCAGCTCATAGCTGTCAGGAGACCCTTCTTCCTTGACCTCTTTCTTTTTCTTGTTCCGGTCATTCCGCACAGCTTAGGGGTGGAGGCACAAGGAGAGGGTCAGAACCATCAGGGACTCCTTTTAGATGTCCTCCCTCACCCTAACTTAATGTACTCAGTCCCTACCATGAATAGCTATTCCCTGGCACCCTAATTAGTGCCTCAGTTGCCCTATCTCATATGTTAGTTCCTATTCCCAGGCTGGCTCTCCCCAGCCCCACCCAGGGCCTGCAGCCCCTGCTCTCTCTCCAGGCCATTCGGCTCCATCCTGCCCTTCCTGTCACCCTGCAGGAGCTGGGGAGGGGGGGCAGGATATGCAGGCGGCAGGATATCCACTTATAGCCTTGGCAGCACAATGGGGGGGGATGGAAAGGAGGGGCCACCTCAGATCCATCTCAGGTTCAGTCCTGGGAACAGCAGAAAAGAGTGAACCATCAGAGGGAAGCCCACTCCCCTGCCCCAAGAAGCAGGGAGAATGTGAAACCCTAATACCCATTGACTAATTCAAAGGAAGGGTTAAGAAGAGAGGAGAATGGGAAAGGGTAGAACCTCTTGTAAATGGAGCTAATCAAATAGGACTGGTCTGAGAGGAGACAAAGAGGTCAGGGAAGTGGGGGTGGCCAGAGGGAAGACAAGAAACCAGAGGGCAGGACAGGACTGCTTCTGTCCAGACCAGTGAGTGATAGGAGCCTACCTTCCTTGGACATGCCCACTTCAAAGCACTTTTGTAGCCTACAGTACTGGCAGCGATTCCTGGTCACCTTGTTGATAATACAGTTTTTGTCACGGTGACATGTATACACCATGTTCTTCTGGATGCTGCGTCGAAAGAAGCCCTGGAGTTGGGGGGAAAGAAGATTGTCAATGAAGCAGGGTGCTGGGAATACCCCAGGCCTGCCCCAATCTATTAACCACCTATATGCAAAATAGCCCCTCTCCCAACACACGCTTACTCACATACAGCACTTGGGTCCCAGGTAACTAGGGATCCCCAATCAGCTCACCCCATATGTACACACCTTGCAGCCTTCACATGAGCTGACCCCATAGTGGTAGCCAGAGGACTTGTCATTGCACACGAAGCAGGGCTTGTAGACCCGAGGAGGTGGTGGGGGTGAGGGCGAGCTGGGCACCATCTCCTCTGAGCTAGTGCTCTGTGTCTCCACCGCTGTGGGGGCAGTGATGTGAGGGGTCAGGGGAGGCCCCCCAGACCTCCAAGCCTCCCTATCACCACCACCCCCATGCCCACTCCTCCTTCTGGCCCACTGGTGATAGCCATCACCAACCCATCCCTGCACAACTCCTCCACAATAATGCCAGCCCTAGCCCTACATGATGCTGTTCAATTCTCCAAATTGTGGGGAGCCATTCTCACACGTGACTGGGCAACTCCCGGTTTGGGTCTGAGGCACTCTGGCTAAACTGTGTCGGAGCTTTCCCAACCCGTGTGGGGGTGTGACTTGACCACTGACCCTGGGGCCAATCACTGACCCTGACCTTGGAGTGCAGCCCCCCCTCAACCTTCATTGGATGGAATTCTCCCCTGAATTTCTTGTTCCCCAATAAAAGGCTACTCCCTGGCGTGCTCCCTCTCTCTCTCTCTCTCCTGCTAGCCCTGAGTAATCCTTGCTGCCCTACCGGGTGGTTCGAGATGGGAGCCAGAGGGGGAGCCATCTCGGACCTGGTCATAGAAAAAGGTAACTGAGTCTGTGTGTTTATTACGATCTCACTAGCTAACTTTTATGCCAAGAACCTCTTTAATGGTCGCATGGTGGAACCAAATTCCAGACCAAGGCCATCCTAGAAGTTAACTTCTTTGGGCCTCTGGTTCCCCCTATAATAATATGGGTGGGGTAGAAGAATTAGGGCCTTGCAACTCTGAATTCTCATGACTTTCTGTCACTCTGGAAGATCCTTTCAGGTAGCTGGCTTCCCACCACCCTCCCTCTGGAGGGGTGGGGGTGATGGCAATTGATGTGGGGGCAGGTAAGACAATAACAGGCCACCTACAGCTGGCACTGGCTGGATGACCTGCTGGGACACTCCGAAATGAGAACAGGACTTCATTTCTCTCAAGTAGTACAGGTGATTCTTGATCTTTCCCCTCAACCTCAGCCCCCAAAATAACTACCAAAGTCCTTTTCTCCAGAAGTCACTGAGACCATGGACCACGAGGGTACAGGTGTCAGGAGAGTAAGTCAGAGGACAGGCCTGATTTCACACCTAAACGAACTGAAGCCATGAGAGGCGACAGAATGGGCTCAGTGCCACAATGCCAGCTGATGGTGCAGGTAAGGTTCTCAGGTGCTCTGACTAGACTTAAGTGTCCATGAGCTGCAGAAGCTGAGGCAGGAGACTGAGGTATTTGCTCAAATTTCTCAGGTCTAGAAGCTGTTGGGGACAGTCTGGTGACAGTGGGTAAACAGAGCTAATGGGGGAGGGAAACTATCTCTGGACCCTCTCTCAAGCTGTCTTCATCCAGAACTGCCTCTGAAAGTACCCCACTGCAGTTCACAAGCTGGAGGATGCACTCTGTGCAGGAGGCTGCTGAGTAAATCCTGTTGAGTATGTGGCCGATTTGATCTGCAGAGGCTCAGGATATCTGTAATATTTTCAGTCTATAGGACCTATTACCTAAACCTGGAGGGTCCAAATTATTTCAAGCCCCTCCCTAAGGAGTATCACATGAACCCACCTCATGAACACCTTCCTCCTAACAATCTGAGCCCAAATGGTCACAAGTTTGCCCCAGTGCAGCCAGAACAGAAGAATTGTCCTAAGCAGGGGTTCCAGGCCACCTACAACTGCCCCACAGGCAGGAAGCCCTCCCCACCCCCCAAAACATACACACACACACACACACACACACAATTAGCATAAGAATCCTGCTGGAGTGAGATTCCCCAAAGAAAAAGGGGAGGGGGAGAAGAGTGTCAGAAGACTATTCAAAACTGGGGGTGGGGGACTCTAGGAGAGACTGGTGCTGAGAGATGTGGGGAGGGATGGAATGCCTTTCGGGACCTCCCCTCACCCCCTACCCCACCCCCACCCCCGCCCACCCGGGTGTCCTCCAGGGGTAAGTGTCCTGCCCACAAGCCTGTACGTGGGGTGGTGCTTTCTCCGGTGCTGCCGCCCTCCCTGCCCGCAGAGCGCTGCCTCATTTCCTCTTGCGCAAGGGCCTGGGTACGGTCAGACTGGCATGGGGCAGCGCCAGCCAATTATAAGACTGGGGGCCCCAGGGACACCACCCCAGGGCAGCTTTTCCCATTTAAGTGGTACTGTCACCCCTCTAGCTTATCATATCCCCCAACCCTAAAGTTCGGTCCAGTGGCTCTGAGGTCAGTCTGCAAGTGGAGAGCTGGGAAGCAAATGAGGTCTATCCTTTCTCTGCCCAGGGCTGAGACCCCACCAGGGATGCTGCTCTAAGGCTGGGCAGGGGCCCCTGCTGGGGAAGCAGGGGTGGGCTCTTGTGTTTTTCTCCTTTTAAAGCCCAAATTGCTGAAATTGAGGAAATTCCTGGCCAGGCTGAGCGGAGCTTCAAACAAACTCTTTATAACAGGCTGTAAACGCTCCCAGCTGCGAGGCCCAAAGTTGAGTAGCCTAGACTCCCAATCTAGCACACACCTCCTAGGAGACATACACATTCTCACAGGCCAACACCACACAGGGCACAGAAGCAGACATATTAACAAGGGCTCCTTTAATCCCACCCCAATCCTGGCACGGAGGAACTCACAAACCCGCATTCAGGCACTAACTCCAGTCACACCGTGGAGTGGATGACAAGTCACAAGGCTGACACACAACACCCAGCACTTGGCTACACATTTACAAGTGCACAGCTCTACCACCAAACACAGCAGCCTGCCAGCACAGCACCAGGACACCAAAGCCTGGAAGCGCGCACAAAGACACAGTGCTCCCCTCTCTAAACCCTCTCTGAAAGTTGCGTGGAGACAGGCCTAACACTGGCTTTGTAAGCCCACCAGGACCCCAGAGGTCAAAATTATTAGTCCAAATTGAATGCAACAACACCCTGCCTGCGTAGTCCAAGGGGCTTTCAGGGGGCCTGAGGGGTCCTCTGCCCAGCCCCCATCCCTCCAAATCCCTCCTGGAAGATTCTTTGCCCCTCAAAACATCCCCCTCAACATATCCCAATTCCCCATCCCATTGGGCAATGAGAAGCTTAAGAATTCACAAAGCTTTGGTGCAAAGCAATAGTTCCATGCTTTCTCCACCCTTTAAATGGCACTCTTTAATTCTTGCCCCGCCCCACCCAAAGTACGGTCTCCTGTTTGCCACCTCCCTTTTCCAGTTTCCCAGTTGCTAAATCTGAGCAGCTCTGCCCTGGAACCAAAAGACGAAAGAAAAAAAAAAATCTGAACTTGTAAACAGCGCAGCCGTGTGCCAAGGAGCGAGGCGCGTTGGCGGGGGCTCGGTGACCCGGCGTGCGCACTCCCCCTGCGCCAGCCGCCCCGCCCCGCCCGCTGCCCGCCCCTTTCCAGCGTGCCCCCAAGCCCCGGGTCCCCAGCCCAGCGCACCCGGACTGCGAGCGCAGTTCCAGCGCCAGGTAAATTTGGGGGGTGCTCCAGGCTCCCCTCCCGGCCCCTCCCCACGCCCTACCCCCGCCAGGCACTGCGGCCCAGGCTTCAAAGCCGCCTCTCATCTGGACTTCATTTTTACTGCCTCTCAGTCCCCAGCTTTTTATTACCGCTCTGGAAAGGGGTTCCAGGGCCCCAGGCCTGGCATCTTCCATTTCACAGAGGGGGAAGGTGGATATTTAGGGACTCTAATCGTGCGATTCTCCTGCTACTGTCATCTCCAGGCCACCACCCCACCATCACACACCCAAACTACTTTGCTTTAAACTTTTCGCTTCCTGCTGTGTGTTAGAGTCATTGAAAAAGTTATTTCTCTCATACAACCCAATAAACGTTTTCAAGCTTTTTTCTTTTTAAAAGCTGTGGGGGGGGGGGCAGAGCCCACCTCCTACCCTCTTACGTGCATAACCCCTAGCACTCCACACGCAGAGCACACAGGATGCACTCTGGGACACAGCACTTTCCAAAACCGCCCCCGCAGCCACACAGGGGCACACACCCTCCCAGCCTCACGCCACAAACATCCCCACACAGGGCCATGCAGATCTGCCAACACAGTCTGAGAGCGACAGTGCGCTGAGACCCCCTACTCCCACACCCACATTACCAACGCAAGGCGCACACCAGGGAGTCACACGCTCTGCAAATAATATTTTTTACACTTCCAACTTCGCACATGGACATTATAAATGCCATCCATGGTTTTAGGTGCCATATCCAACCGGGACCAGAACCTGGAGGCACAAACTACCAACACACCTCGGTCTCTCCCTATCTCCAGGAACTCTGGAGTGCATCAACGACAAGTCCTAGCTAATCACCCACCATATAAACCACACACATTCTAAACACTACTGCACACACGCAAAGGAGACGCTGAAGCCCCCGCATTTAAAGGGACAGTACTTCACATAGAAAGGACCAGAATCTCCACTTGCACCCCAGTTCCAACCTTCACACACGGAAAGGGTAAGCCTCAAATTTTCTTGCACCCCAAACCCAACCCCCGGGCTCGAGTACCTACATTGCAGACTGGCGGGTTGCGGCCAGGCAAAAGACTCAAGTCCGGCGAAACAGGAGCTGCCGGTGGCTCTGCGCAGCAAGCCGGCCCCGGGCCCAGCCGCTCCATACAGCCGTCGCGGACCCGGGGCAAACGATTCCATGCAGTCGTACATCGCGACCCGGCTTGGAGGGAAGCTGGGTGCTAGAACACCAAGGACCCGCAGCCGATTCCCCCTCCTCCCCCGGCGGCGCCCCGCTCCTGGAGGGGGGGGAGGGGGAAAGGCTAGCATAGGGCGCTGGGCTGCATGGGGGGTAAGGGGAGGGCGGGGAAGAGGGGGATCCCCAGCAAGGGTAAGGGACTGGGCGGGGCGCTAAGCCCGGGCTGCCGCTTCAGCTGGGTCCCGCTCACTCTGGGCGTCTCGGCAGCTAGTACTGGGGAGACCTTTTGTAAAAGCAAAGCCTGGAAGGGTGGGGGGTGGGGCTTGGAGAGCGAAAGGGGCCGGGCACCAAGATGAGCAGAGCTAGCAGTGGAGCGCTCACACACACACATACTATACTCGCTGCGCTGTGCGCGCCCTTGCTCAGACCTACATCCATCCACTCATGCATTTATCTTGGCAGGCAGCACGCATTTGCAAAAATGCAATAGCTCACATGCATGTCTGCACGCACACAAATTCATAGGTGCACACGTTTGTGCAAACCCATGTGGCTCGGGAGAATGCTTGTAAATATTCTTTCTCCACAGCCTGGAAGCTTTGCACGTATTTGCACTTAGGCGCGTGCCCAGGTCGGGGTTGGGGGAAGGAGTAGAGAAACCAAGCACACGCATTTCCTTTCATAGGATTCTCCCGCTTCCCTCAACCCTTCCTTTTTCACACAAGTTAATACAGGCAGGGGTGTTAAGGATGACTGGGAGAGGAGAACGTGGAGATCCTCCACGCGCTGCAGCTCTCCAGAGGACCTGCACTACCTCCA